TTTTTTTTTTTTTTTGCATTTATTTTTCAGCTGTCCTGCAAGCTTGAGTTCCCCGTAACCAGCACGTATGGTTCAATATTCACAACCTGGAGGATCTTTGAAGTAATGCGAGAAGAGTCTGCAGCCAGTGACTGGCTGGCTTCAGTGGAGTCCTTGCTGCCTATCACTACAACGATCCCCGTGCATGTTCTGCTGCTGCTGGTTCACCTCCTTGTTGAAGATACAGGACAGAATCTTCGCCAAATACTGAAGGTCACTACAGAATTAGCCCAGGCAGATTCCTCTCAGGTAAAGAGAGAAAATAATGGAACAGCAATGGGGGCAAAGCTGAACTACTGGAAATGTAGATTATTCTTACTTTGTGGATAACTTTTATTGGTTTTAAATTGTGGGTTGATGCAAATGCTTCTTTAATGAAAGTGCACTGTGCAAGGAAATCTGCGCAAGATTCTATTCTGGTGTCTTGTTTATGCGTGAATTTGCTAATTTGAGGTCCGCTGGTTAACTCTTGCAGCTTATTTAAGATGCATATCCCTTAGTTCTAATATTGACCTTTTAAGATAAATGCAAATTAATTGAATTTAAAGGTGCCTATATGATAGACTTTAATCTCTCTTTACTTGTTGCAATTTGATCCTATCTTGATTCAGTCATTTAATAAACTGAAAAATATTGGGTCCTTTCTATCTATGGTATTGATCAACATGTCGGGATGTGAGGATAAATAGTTGTTCTTGCTATCTGCACGGAAATTGGAGTGTAATAAGAAAACAGTCAGACATTAATAAGACTCTCCACCACCACCTTTTAAACGAATCATGTATTTAGCACAGCGCTCTGTAATTTTTTGCCCCCATTGGATAGGATCTGTAGGATGTATCCCCTTTGAAGGGGTTTTCGAATCAAGTAGGTATGGTATTTTTATTTTCTGTTTATTGGTATCTGTGCTTGTATTTTCAAGCACAGTGAGGAAAACATCCATCACTTTAAGGAAAACTATGTGTTTCTGTAGGAAAAACATTGGTGGGGAAGGTGGAGAAATGTTTATTTAAGATATGAAGTTAATGTGTTTGGAATTTGTTTTTGTCCCCAACTTGTCATGCTCATTCCTTTTTGCCAAGGAAATAACTGCTGCTATCTCAGAGTTTTCCTGTGACTAGACTGCCTTTGGTCTGGTTCTGCAAGTGGGTCTGTAATGTACTCCAAGTACCTTGGTCTCATGGTGTATGTATAATGGGACTCATTTCAACTTGCGTCCTACTCTGTCTCTCCCTTCACCTTCCCTAGTGATCTCGCTTCTACCAAATGTTTGCTTTCAGTGTTGACACTTCGTTAGATATTCTCTAGAATAGATATCGTCCAGATAATGTCTGGAGATTATCTAAAGAAGTTATACAGTAGGTTACCTGATCTGTGTGTGCCACTGTGGTACAACATGTATTGCAGACAATACATATATATGCCCATACTCAAGAAATGCACTGAGCCTTTGAAATTCTAGAGTGATACTTTTGGTTACAAGTAACAGAAACCTGCCTGTTCTAAACTGTTTTTATTCCCTCTAGAATGTCGAACAACCATGGCCTACTCAGTGTATCATTGCACAGTTTTTTCTTTAAAAAAATGTTTTTATTGATTTTAGAGAGAGAGAGAGGAACATTGATGAGAGAGCAACATCATTAATTGGCTGCCTCCTGTATGCTCCCTCCTGGGGACTGAGCCCACAACCCGGGCATGTGCCCTGACCAGGAACAAAACCCGGTGACCTCTTGGTGCCTTGGTTGATGCTCAACCACTGAGCCACACCGGTGGGGCATTGTGGGGCATTGCACAATTTCTTTCCTGCCTCTGTGAATTGAATTGGCTGGAAGCCCAAAGCCTTCTCACCTAATATTCACAGCCCAAAAGGAGGAGCATTGTAGAGATTTGGGATTGGCTTTGCTTGGGTCACGTGCCCACCCTGGGTCAACCGTTATGGCAGGACAGTGGAGCACTTCACGTGACTATCCTCGGTAGAATGGAGGTGGGTGAAGTGTCAGGGTCCTCACATTATCTATGCCACCAGGATCACATGGAATGAGGGAGGGATGAGTCCCCAAAGGCAAAGTAGTTTCCTGGTTTAAAAAAAAAGGAGTTTGCAAAACAGGAAAAAAATGTGGAGATCATCTTAGCATTTTGAGGACACTGAAATGCTCTGAGTTTCACGTGTTTCAGGTGAGCTACCATTATTCCCCCGCCTCTGAGCTCTCAGGTAGTTGTGCAGGGTGCCAGAGTCCTTAGCTGGTAGCTTCTGGCCCCCTGATGCTTACCTACTTACCCCAGTATCCTTACAGTATTTTTCATGTGTGCCATGAAATGGAAAAGGTTGGGAAGCACTAGAGTGACCATCCAGGTTCATCTATTTATTCAATAAATGTTTATTAAGAACAGTGCCAAAGCCCTGGCTGGTTTGGCTCAGTGGTTAGAGTGCTGGCCCTCGGACTAAAGGGTCCCGGGTTCGATTCCAACCAAGGGCACGTACCTCGGTTGCAGACTCGATCCCCGGCCCCAGTTGGGGCGAGTGCAGGATGCAAGGGATCAGTGTTTCTCTTGCTTTCTCTCTCCTCCCCTTCCATTCCCTCTGAAAAGCAATGGAAAAAATATCCTTCAGTGAAGATTTAAAAATAAAATAAAATAAAAGCAGTGCCATAAACTGAAGTCAATATGGTACACTTCTGTTGATTACTTCTTGGTTTTGAAAGAAAAGAGAAAAAATACCCAATGTAGTTGTGCTTGTTAGATGTATGGTAGGGTGAAATGTTTACATGTAATTACACAAATTTATGCAGAAGAAAAGGCAATGCCATTAATAAGAAATTGAAAGTGGAGTTAAGTGTTTTGAAAAAAGCAGTGTGAGTGTCCCCAGAAATAAGACATAGTGGCTTTCCCCTCACTTTTTAAATGTAGTGACCATATCATATCATTTCACTGGCTTTTAACTACAAGGAGAAGCTGCCAAAAAGAGGAGACTGAATGTTTTGAAAAAGCAAGTTTTCTAACCGAGTAGGTGCTTGAAGTAGAGTCAACTGAAACGAGCTGGGGCTGTAATTTACTACTGGGGAGGCATTACCTAAGACTACATGAAATGCACTCATATTCCATGTGTGTTTGCTTTTTCTCACCTTATAGAGAGAAGCTATATTATATAGAACAATCATTGGCTCAAATTCACGGGGAGTTGGTAGTAAAGAAGAAAATCTTAGACTACTAATAAGCAGAAGCTAAGGCACTAGGTGGGTAAGAGAAGGAATTTAGAGGCTGTCTTCCATGTCTGCTTTGGTGGCCACTTAACTTCTATAGTAGAATTCACTGGCCTGCGGTATACTTTCTAAGTATTGCCTTATGTGACCAATAGTGATAGAGATGTGCCATATGTGAAGTATGCTCTGGTATTACTGTTATTATTATTCTAAACTATTAATAGAGATTATTTTTAGTAATACTAGTAGTAATAGATATTGCTGTCAACTAGAAATGTTTCATTAGTGTTAATGGTAAGAAAATGTGCTTTTAAAAGACATGTGATTCTGTTACTTTTTACTTGTGTAGTTTGATAGATCTCCTTTCCCCGATAAGTTTTTGTTCTTAGTCTCTCACTGGGTTCCCCTCTGGCATGCATTTTCCATTAAGTTTAATACATTTAGGGCCATGGAAGATTATGAAGCTAAGCTGTCTGAAGGGAACTTGGCCTTGTGAGCACCATTTGAGAGCTAACTGGATACAGATGATGTTAAAATAACTAGATAGTTACCCAGAGCCACAGCAATAAATCAACACTTGAAAAAATAGTAAGGAACTTCCTTTTCTATATCTAGAAATGTTGTCAGTAATTACTAACAATCCTTATAGTTTTCTCCCCAGGCATGAGACTGACTTTGCAGAAGGTACAAGCCCAGGTCAGGCAGTGCTCAGTACAAGTTAAGTGTCTGTTACATTCTTGAGGGAGTGTCTGAGGGTGTTCTGGGGGAGACATCCAAGAATGAGAATCCTGTGTGAATTTCCATGGGTCTTGAAAGTTTTCAACACATTGATTTAGTTTAGAGAGAGGTTTTCATATCATAGTCTATGTTTGTAATAAATGGGGTGCCATCTATTTCCTCAATTTGTGTGCTTTTATTTTTTTTCCCCTGGAAGTATGCTTTTTGGTTATGTTTACATAACAGTTACTGCCTTTCTGATAACTGAGTGATGCTGTTTTTACGTTTTGAAGTAAATCGCTCAGGCTGCCTTCAGATGCCTGGTTACAACTGAAGCACATTGCTTCGTGGCTCATGTACAGCAATGTCTAGTTGGCCTAGCCTTTCCTCTTCAGGGGAAAAGAGTTATTTCTTACCTCTGATTGTCCAGGACCTGGCCACATCTGGTGTGAAGTCTGTAGTAGTGAATGTTACATGCAGGCTCAACTGAGTCAAGTAAAGGGTCATGTGGACCCCAGGCCTCATTGAGGGCATTTTCTGATCTTTAATTTATAGCTTTTTAAGGGCAATATAAAATCATATTTCAGACCCTTATCCAGGGACTCACTAACCCGTGTAAATGTGATTATGGATGGTTTGGAAATGTCTGAGATGGACATAACCTCCATAAGAAGAGGCTAATAACTCTTAGTTAATCAGCGAGTATTGATTGACCTCCTGTCTCTCCATTCACAAGAGCCCAGCACAGCGACCTCTCGCTTGTTAAGAACCGCATCTGGCTCTGAGTTGCACCGTGAGCCTCTAATACACACCCGCTCACTAGGCGATTGCACAAATTGTGAACTTCCTCTGCCCCTTCCATACACCTGACTGTACCTGGCTTCTAAGACTCTCAGCCAGAAACCTTACCTTGTCTTCCTCTCTTCCTATCCCTTCCTTCCATTTTGGATTTTATGTGCAGTTCTTTGCCAACTCTGACTTTAGCTTCCAGTAATTGCCTCCCATGTTCCCTCTGGCAGCTTCAGGTAAATTCTCTGTCTATCTGGGATGCCCCCTACTAACCTCTGGCCCCTGGCCCCTTGAGAAGGGATATAACTTACCTCTTGAAACCTCTAATATCTATTAACTCAGCTGTACATTAACTATATTATTAGGTAATTATTTAGTATGTAATTGTTACTATGTTAAATATAGAAAAATTATAATTACTTGTATATTAGCTATATTGTTAACTGTGGTTTCCCTATAGCTGTCGGTATTGAGATTTCTCCACCTGAAGCACTACACCCTGGAGAACAGATGTTGGAGGAAGCTATTTTCACATAGCCTTGG